TCCAACATTGCTGATTGTAGGAATTAATCATAAAATAGAGAAATGAAAAGTTTAGAACAACAGTCCTTCCAACTCAGTCCACACTGGTACCTAGCCTCCAGTCCACACTGGGCCCTGACTCCAGGCCGTGCCAGGCTTCATCTTGAAATTCCCGAGGCCAGGAAACCGCTCTGGAATTACCTCGAGATGAGAGGTTCACGCTGAGGCCACACCGGGCCGGGAGACCGCCACACCGGGCCAGGAGACCGCACACCGGGCCGGTAGTATGCCAAACCGGGCTGGGAGACCACCACGCCGGGCTGGGAGACTGCCACACCGGGCCAGGAGTACGCCACACCGGGCTGGGAGACCGCCACACCGGGCCACGAGTACGCCACACCGGGCCAGGAGTATGCCACACCAGGCCAGGAGTACGCCACACCGGGCCGGGAGACCGCCACACTGGGCTGGGAGACTGCCACACCAGGCCAGGAGACCGGGCCTAAAGTACGTCGCACTGGGCCAAGAGTACGCCACACCGGGCTGGGAGACCGTCACACCGGGCCGGGAGTACGCCACACCGGGCCGGGAGACTGCCACACCGGGCCAGGAGACCGGGCCTAGAGTACGCCGCACTGGGCCAAGAGTACACCGCACCGGGCCGGGAGACCGCCACGCCGGGCTGGGAGACCGCCACACCGGGCCGGGAGTACACCACACCGGGCTGGGAGACCGCCACGCCGGGCCGGGAGACCGCCACGCCGGGCCGGGAGACCGCCACGCCGGGCCGGGAGTACACCACACCGGGCCGGGAGACCACACACCAGGATGGGAGACCGCCACACCGGGCCGGGAGTACGCCACACCGGGCCGGAAGTACGCCACACCGGGCCAGAAGTACGCCACACCGGGCCGGGAGACTGCCACACCAGGCTGGGAGACTGCCTCGCTAAGCCAGAAGAACACCATGCCAGGCCAAGAGGATGCCTCACTGGGTCTGCACTGAGGCAGGGAGTCCAAGGACAAGAAAACAGAAGCAAGAAGAGAGAAGAAGAAAAAAAAATCCAAAACAGAAAGTGTAAGTAGGTAGAGGACTCTGGGTGGGACTTTCTGGGAAGCAGTCCTAGCCTTCAAAATCAGGATTAGTAATGCTTATGACTGCTCAGCAGAGAGGATTTTATTGAAGAGAACTTTCACTTCAATGGGTCCTGGACAAACTACTGTTGAATCTGACATAGCAACACAAACAAAACATGGAAAAAAACTTGAAAAATTGGCTGACTGGCATTTTATCCACCAAAGATAGCCAGTAAACTGATCTAACATTCAAAATCCCCAGTGGACCAGAATTAATGACAATTTAATCTAAATCCATGATATACTGTGAGATAGTTGACTTTATCATAACAAGGTCATCTGTCACTTCTCATTAAATCACTGGCACTAAGCTAAGGTTCTTTATTATGAAAAAGCAGATGGATTCAAAATTAGATTTGGTGTTTTGCAAAGAGATTTTGGCGTCAAATAAATTATCAAAAAACTATACTTACATTTTTGAATGCCTAAGTGATGATTTTTTTCTATAGTCACATAAATTGTTTGTTAATTCTTTTGATGGGAGTAAGATTAAATGGATAGAGTCAATGTTGATGACTGCAAGGGTCAAGCAATATTAGTTTCTGTTGTCAAAACACTCAAGGAAAACAGGAAAGAAGAAAAGAAGCAAAGACTGACACTATCATGTCTCTCAGAAATGCCTGATGCTAGATTGGTTGGTTAACAACCCCAGGGGCTGCTATTTCAGATCCCAGCATATCAACCTATGGGTCTGAACTGTTGTACAATTCAACATGTTCATAAATATATCTCACTAATGACTCCAGTATCGTGCTGCATTCTTCACTCAATGCCCTATGAGCAAGTAGACATTTCCAATAATTAATGTTTTGCCACTGTTGTCCACATCTCAAAACCAAAGAGGAAGCCAGCAAAATTATTTTGAAAATGAGATGATTGAAATTATAAAGCAGTCATGGTAGGCATTTGAGGAGAAATTGAGCAGTTTAGGCACATACTTGCTATAGCTTAGGCAGATGACATGACATCTAATTGAGGTATATAAGATTCTAAAGGGGATTGACAAAGTAGATGTAGAGAGAAGGTTTCCCATGTTGGACAATCTAGAGTGAGAGGTCATAGTTTTAGGCTAAGGGGTGGCAGATTTTAAACAGAGATGAAGAGGAATTACTTCTCTCAAATGGTCATGATTCTGTGGAATTCACAATGGACACCAGGGACAGAATAAATTTAAGGAGGAAATAGACAGATTGCTCATTAGTAATGGGTTAAAGGGTAATGGAGAACTGACAGGAAAGTGGAGTTGAGGCCAAAATGAGATTAGATGTGATCATTTTGAATGGCAGACCAGGCTTTGGGGCACTGAAAAGCCTATTCCTGTTCCTAGTTCTTACATTCTTATTTTGCAAACAACAAGATGCCAGAAACAATAACTTATGAATAAACATTGATTTTATTTCTGATGGTGTGTAGTTGAAGGAGGAGGATCGTGTCTGAATTATGGATAAAAATATTGTGCACAGACTCCCAGGATGGATCAGTTAGTGAATGATGCTCAACTCAGCTTTATGCTCAAGGAGGTCCCGGGCCTATCTCCGTGATTTCCTAAAACAATCCAAGATATTTGCATTCCTCCAACTCCTCCTTCTTGCACATCTCCAATTTCCATAGCCCCTTCATTACTACCTGTTCCTGCAACTTCTGAGACCCGAGGCTCTGGAGTTCTCTTCCTAAATCTTTCTGACTCTCAAACATTCTTTCCTATTTTAAAAGTGCTCCGTACAACCAACCTCTTTGACAAAGGTTTGTGGGACCCCTGTTCCAGGACTTCCTGGCATGGTTGTCAGAATTTCTGATACTCTGGGACCTGACTCTGGCGGAGGCAGTACTACAGTCAAGGACTGTTCATTTGTAAATAAAGGGTAAAACTGAAAGAACTGCAGACACTGTAAATCAGGGACAAAAACAGAAGTTGCTGGAAAAGCTCAGCCAGTCTGGCAGCATCTGTGAGGAAACATCAGAGTTAACGTTTCGGGTCCAGTGAGTTCTGAGGAAGGATCACCGGACCTGAAACGTTAACAGCTGCCAGACCTGCTGAGCTATTCCAGTAACTTCCGTTTTTGTTTCTGCGTGTGTAAATAAAGGGTGATTTGTTGATGGGATACCGGCCTCTGTGGAGTTATTTTGCAGCCCATCAGTGCAGGTTTAGAGGTGGGAGGCTGAGAATTGGGGTATAGAATTGGGAGGAATGAGTCATGCAGTTTTCCCAGTTTCGGGAATGGTTGAAGATGACCTTTCCTCCTGAGGTCAGTTGAGGTCATTGCCTGAAATACAAAGGGCATTTAAGGATAACACAGTGTGGAGCTGGAGGAACACAGCAGGCCAGGCAGCATCAGAAGAGCAGGAAAGTTGACGTTTCAGGTTGGGACCCTTCTTCACTTTGTTATCTCTGACTCCAGCATCTGCAGTTCTTGCTTTCTCAAAGGGCATTTAAGGGACAATTTTTGCCAAGACTCCACTCCACATGATGAGTGCCTAGCAAACATTGGCAAGCTACCTTTGGGGCTTGTGGAGGGGTGGGGTAACAGAAGGGGGCAGCTCTTGATTAGTTAATATAACACACACAGAGTTATATGAACTGGAACAGTGAAGGAAGTATTTGTGTTAGCAATGGAAATACAGAGCGATGTCAGCTCTTGTCCAAAGGTAACAGAGGCTCCATCTGTAGGCAGGACTCACCTCCAACGAAACATCCTGGCTGCCATCACCATTGAAATGTTCCTCACACCAACCCCTGCTGGGGTCTGCCTGACTGGCTCTGGAGACCCTCCCTCACTGACGTAGGGCAGGGCAGCTTCCATGATGCTGTTCCTGGCTGCATGCAGTCCCAGCAGTGACCGCTAGTCTTGGTGGCACTCTGGTTCTGAAAGGTGGTGACTCTCCCATTGGATGGCAGCTCTTGGAGGCAGGATTTCTGCCTGCATACTCCCCACCAGCCTGGATGAGTGCAGCTCCAAAAGCATTCAAGGAGCTTAATGCTGCCCAGACAAAGCAAAGAAAAGAAAGAAAAACTAGAACAACTTGTAAATGACACATTCTGCTTTGACATGTTTTTTATACCTCAGAACAGTACAACCAGTATGTTCATTTTGAAGCATTTTTAAAATGGTTTTTCCTTCTTGGCACCACCTTCAACATGCGCTCACTTCATCGCTGATGCACAGTGCCAGCATTTACAAGATGCACTGCAACAACTCACAAAGGCTCCTTCATCACTACCTCCCAGACCTGTGAACTCTACCACCAAGAAAGACAAGGGCAGCAAGTACAAGGGAATGCCATAACCTGCGTATTCCTCTCCAAGCCTTAAACCATCCTGACTTGAAATACTGGTGTTCCTCCAGTGTCAATATGTCAAATTCCTGGAACTCTCTCCACAACAACACCGTGGTTGCCCCAACACTCCAAGGACAAACAGTTCAAGGCAGCAGCTCAGCATCACCTTCTCAAGGTCAACTAGGCATGGGCAATAATTCCCAATCTAGGAGCATTGTGGGTCAACCTACAACACATGGACTGCAGCGGTTCAAGAAGGCAGTTCACCATCACCTTCTCAAGGGCAAGTAGGGACGGGCAATAAATACTGGCCCAGCCAGCAATGTCCACATCCCATGAGTGAATAAACAAAATGCTGGCCCAGCTAGTGACGCCCATGTCCTGTGACTGAACACAAACAAATGTACAAAGCAAGCTGCCTGTCTACTGACGAAAAACCACATTTAAAAGTGGAGTCTATTGTATATAATCAAACAAAGCCACAAATTAAAGGGCAGTGGCAGTTTGTGAATACTGGCAGCTCCAGGAATACTAAATGTGGGTCAAGATTCATAAAAGGTCAAACACACAAAGTTTCCTGTCACAATAAATACACACTAACAAAAACACACTCAAATTTTAATTTTAATTTCAACCTTGGTTTCCAACCCTGTACTGTACAGAAATGCAGTGATGTTAAAATAACACACACAGAGTTATAAGAACTGGAGCAGCAAAGGAAGTATTTGTGTTAGCAATGGAAATACAGAATGATGTCAGCCCTTGTCCAAAGCTTTTGCCGATTAAGAGTCATTCCCACCACGCATCTCCCCATCCCCCAACCAACCACCTCCTCTCTTTGTAAACACCAGAGCTAAAGAGACTTCCAAATTGGAAACAATCACATTGAGATCAGTTGGATATGGCTGTGTCTTTGTTTCCACTGAAATTTGCAATTAGCTTGTCCAAGGGCAGTTGGAATCTGGATTTTTCTTCTGTTCCCTGCAGCTGAAACAAAAAGAATGAAAAACATGTTTGTCAGAAACACTCTATTCAGATTCTTCCATAGAGAGCTGCTGTACTTGGCTACTTACTATTATAAATAAACAGGTTTAACGTCCCCCCATTGGGTTTAGTCTCATGTGGAACGGATCTCTAACACAAACTGGGAGGCCCTGGGACCCACCTCTGGTTTTTGCTAAGTTCTGGTCACAGCAGTGTGACCACAGTCAGGGGTCCTGGGTCCTGTTGGATGAATCAGCCAAGTCTCTTGCTGCTGTTCAATACTTAATGTGTGAGGACCTATGTGTATGAACGTGTGAGAGTGTAGTGCAAGTGTGTCATGTGTGTGTGTGGCATATATGTATCTATGAATGTGTGTAAGTGTGCATGCTTATGTGTGAGCATGTATGAATGCGTGAGACTGTGCATATGTGTGTGTATGAATACTTGTGTACATATGAGTGTCTATGCATGTGTGAAAGAGAGAATACGCATGTGAGTGTGTGGTATGTGTGAGAATGTACATGTGTGTGTGTGAGTGTGAGTGCTTGTGCATGTACCAATATATGTGTGTGCATGTAAGAATGCGCGAGTGTGTGGGTGAGTGTTTGTGACATTGTCTGTATATGTGTGTGTGTGAATGGGTTACTGCGTGTATATGTTGGAGAGTGTGTGTCTAAAAGATGTATGTGTTTGTATGTGAATGTGTATGAGTGTGTGAGTATGGCTGTAGTGTTAATTAAGGCCCCAGTCAAGGTTCGTTATCCTATGTTGACTGAAATTTCCTAGTGTCAGACAGTACCCCTGCTCAGTGAATGTGGAGACCGCTTGGAGGTGGCATCATAGTGACAGCGCTACAGCACCATCAGAGATTACTGTTAAAACTCACTGACATTGCTACAAGGCTAAATCAGCCATAGGTGTGGCCACAATCAGTCTTGTACTATGATACCACCTCCATATTGAAGTTCCTAATGTTTCTGGGACTTGATTTTGACCAGTCCATACTTGGGGATGAACGATCATTCGGGAATGCAGGCATGTAGAGCTGAGGTTAAAATCAGATCAGGCACGATCGTATTGAATGGCAGAGCAGGCTACTTCAAAGGGCCAAATAGCCTACTTTTGCTAAGTGGTGACCAGTGGTGTTCTGCAGGGATCTGTTCTGGGACCTCTGTTCTTTGTGATCTTTATAAATGACTTGGATGAGGAAGTGGAAGGGTGGGTTAGTAAGTTTGCCAATGACACGAAGGTTGGTGGAGTTGTGGATAGCATGGAGGGCTGTTGTAGGTTGCAACGGGACGTTGACAGGATGCAGAGCTGAGCAAAGAAGTGGCAGATGGAATTCAACCTGGAAAAGTGTGATGTGATTCATTTTGGAAGGTCAAATTTGAATGCAGAATACAGGGTTAATGGCAGGATTCTTGGCAGTGTGGAGGAACAGAGGGATATTGGGTTCCACGTCCATAGATCCCTCAAAGTTGCCACCCAAGTTGATAGGGCTGTTAAGAAGGCTTATGGTGTGTTGGCTTTCATTGGCAGGGGAATTGAGTTTAAGAGCCGTGAAGTAATGCTGCAGCTCTATAAAACTCTGGTTAGACCACACTTGGAATATTGTGTTCAGTTCTGGTCGCCTCATTATAGGAAGAATGTGGAAGCTTTAGAACAGGTGCAGAGAAGATTTACCAGGATGCTGCCTGGACTGGAGGGCAGGTCTTATGAGGAAAGGTTGAGGGAGCTAGGGCTTTTCTCATTGGAGTGAAGAAGGATGAGAGGTGACATGATAGAGGTGTACAAGATGATGAGAGGCACAGATAGAGTGAATAGCCAGGTACTTTTTCCCAGGGCAGAAATGACTATTACGAGGGGGTATAATTTTAAGGTGATTGGAGGAAGGTATAGGGGAGATGTCAGAGGTAGGTTCTTTACACAGAGAGTGGTGGGTGTGTGGAATGCGCTGTCGGCAGTGGTAATGGAGTCAGATACATTAGGGACATTTACGCGACTCTTGGATAGGCACGTGGGTGATAGTAAAATATAGGGTATGCAGGGTAGTTTGATCTTAGTTTGATCTCAGTTCTGAGGAAGGGTCACCAGACCCGAAACGTTAACTCTGTTTTTTCCTTCACAGATGCTGTCAGACCTGTTGGGCTTTTCCAGCAACTTTGTTTTTGTTCCTGATTTACAGCATTCTTTCGGTTTGTAGTTTGATCTTAGAGTAGGATAATAGTTCAGCACAACATTGTGGGCCGAAGGACCTGTACTGTGCTATGCTGTTCTATGTTCTATTGGTCCTTGCCCATATGTTCATGTGCAAAACTTGGAACATCATCAGATGTGATTCAATTCAGTTTGAACGGGACTTGGGAGCCAACATAAATTGAGGCAAGAGTAAGGCCATGTTCTTTGGGAACTGGGCCGTCTGCTCCTTCTTCCCTTCACAGTCAGGACAGATTACCTGAAGTGCTGGGAATATGGTTCAAAGGGACCAAGTCATGCACAAAATCTTGGGAGGAATGCATCGCCAAAGTTAAGTAGAAACTCGTCTTTTGGGAGCACTGCCCCTTCTCCATTGCAGTTAAAAACCTGGTCATCAGGTGTGAGGCACCGTCTCCATTGTATGTGGTGCAGATCTGGTCCATTCCCCAAAACTATGCTGTTTCAGTCACCCAAGTCATCTTCCATTTCATCTGGAAGCCTAAGATAGACCGGGCCTGCAGGAACGCCATGTACAAACCTCTGGGTAAGGGGGGCAACAATGTACCCAATGTTGCCCTCATTCTGATGGCCATCTTTGCGCGTGGCTGCACCAAGCTGTGCGTAGACCCTTAGTACGCAAACACCAAGTGTCACTATGTACTGAGGTTCTACCTGTCCCTGGTGTTGAGAATGATGGGACTAGCCTCACTGCTGTGGAACAATCCAAATAGTTAGACAGTCTGCATCACCTGTCCTTTGTTAGGAAATTCCCAAAGAACAACACCTTTGATCACTAGTCCATCAGGAAGTGGTCGGCACGCAGCGTCCTCAAGACCCTGTGGGAAGAGGAGAGGGTCGATCCTGTCTGGTTGTTCCCTGAGCAGACTGTGAAAATCATTTGGCAGAATACCTCATCACCAGAACTCCAAGGCATTGCTTGGCTGGTGGTGGAGAAGGGCACTACCTGTGAGATCCTGTATGTACGCCCAGTTGGTCTGTGCCACTGCACGCTGCCCTCGAAGTGGCTGCGGGGGTGTTGAGACTGTTACATATCTCCTGCTGGAATGTGCCTTTGCAAAGGAAGTCTGGAGGAAGATGCAGTGGTTTGTGTTGAGGTTCGTCCCGAGCAGTTCTGCGATGCGGGACTCTGCTGTGCAGTCTGTTTCCCGGGACGCACACTGAGACAAACGTCAACTGCCCCTGGAGGACTATCAACACGGTGAAAGATGTTCTTTGGTCTGCCCGAACCTTGTCTTCCAGAACAAGGAGTTGACCCTAGCCGAGTGTTGCAGACTGGCACGTTCCAAGGTCCAGGACTATGTGCTAAGTTTGGGGCAGCTGCTACCAAGGTGCAGTGGGATAAGACCACCATCTGAGGTCTTTCTGCTGAAGATAAACGGGGCTCCATTCAGTTATCAGACCCTCCCAGTGCCTCAGAATATATATAAATATTAGTATTGTATGTGTAAGAGAGGTTTCTGGTTTTTTGGATAGAGTCAGTGTCCAATGTTTTGTTTATTTACTTGATTTGCAACTGTACAGAACCGAACTGCTTTTGTGACATATATATACAAAAAGATTTTTATGAATAAAGTATATGTTTGAAAAAAAAAGTTCTCATGTTCTGATCCTAACCACCACCCTGAACTGTGCAATGAAGACAGGGACAGCCAGTTTGGAGAATCTGCAGGCACAATGTAGCCATGTCCAGGTTTGGGGCCCTGGCTTTCTCTGTGTGCTTGCTGGTTGGTGTATGTGTATATATGTTTGAATTTTTAATTGTCTATGTGTGTGTTCATGTGTCTGTGTGTATCTGCGTGTGCATGCTTGTGTGTACCTGTGTGAGTATCCATGAGATAGTTGGAACTGCAGATGCTGGAGAAGTATCCATGAGTCTTCTTTAGTAACTGTGCATGTGTGTGTGTGCATGTACATGCATTGGGCAAGATAGCTTTGGGTTTGATTGCATTGGCTCCCACGAAAGAAAAACAATAACATTTATATAGCAGCATTGAACTATCACAAAGCCCAAGGTAATTCACAGAAACGTTATACAACAAAACATGACGTTGAGTCATGTGGGGAAGTACTGGTCAGATGTGCAAAAAGTTGGTCAAAGAGCTAAGATTCTAAAAGTTCTGAAGAAGGGCCACTTGACCTGAAATGTTAACTCTGCTTTCTGTCCACAGATACTCCCAGATCTGCTGAGTTTCTCCAGCAATTTCTGTTTTTGTCTAGGTTTTTCGAAGTGTCTTAAGAAGGCAGAAAGTGTCAGGAGGGAATTCCAGAGCCTGGGGCTGTCATAACTGAAGGCACGGCTGCCAATGGTGGAGCAACTATGACTGGAAGCTCAAAAGAAGTCAGAATTTAAGGAATGCAGATGTCGCGAAAGATTGTGAGGTTGACAGAAATTCTGGGCAGGTGGCGGGACTGTGTCATGGAGCTATCCTGATGGACAATGATCTGAAATTCCCCACCTCTGCAGGGCTGGGAAAATCTTATCCAATGAGTCTCTCATTTAATTTCAGCCTGAAGTGATGGGAATGGAAATTCCCTTTAACAATTGGTCCCACTGTAAATTGAGTTCAAGTAGACTCAAGCCAGCACTGTGAACTGCTGCAGAAAGCTTTGAGCTACATTGGCATTCAGTATGGTTTCTGATGTGACCAACAAAAGTCACTGCCATAAAATCCTCGGCTGCTTTGAGGGAAACATTTTATTAAATTATACCTAACCTCTGTGTGCTACTTGGCAGCCCTCAACCATGGTTCAGTAGCGTAAGAGTCCGTCACCTACAAGGGGTCAGG